TTCTGTGAATACGTGATGGGTGTGCTCCACGATGCAACCACAGAGCATCAAGCTGTGTTGATTTAAAAGGATCATTTACACAAATATGGAAGATTTGAAAACCTGAAGTCTTGGCTCTGTGAGGGGAAAAGTTTCTGAGAATACACCTGCACAGGTGCGTACCTCTCTCTCAGCGTCGGCTGGCTGCTCAGGAAGCTGAGCTGCTGCTCCAGACGACAAACCCTGAAGGCCAGATAGCAGGACGACAGGACCAGCAGGAAGACCCTGAGAGAGACAGACAGGTAACAAACAGCTGACACACCTGTGAAGAAGTGCAGTGAACCCGGAGGCTCCTCCTCCAATCGGCAGACAAAAGAACCGACTGCGTTTGCTGGTTCTGGTTCTGACTCACAGCAGGATGAAGAGTCTGAGCAGCTGGTACTCTGCGTGGCCCAGTTCAGGTACCGGCTCTGTCAGCAGGATCTTCTCCGTCTCCAGGCTGCAGTCTGCACACGAGTCAGAGGACACGGGTAAACACATCATTACCTTTGACTGTGGGCGGGCGGATGCACGCGGCTACCTGTGAGCGTGTGAGCACTGAAGGTGGTGGTGGCGGCGAGGCTGGGGGTGGAGTTTCCCAGCAAATCGGGGAGCGAGGAGGAGACGGCGGGAAGCGACGGTTTCCGTCTCCATTTCAGCACCTCTGGAAACTCGTCCTGACAGAGAGACGCAGGTTCAGAGACACAGCTTTGTAAAAAGCAGAGACGCTGCGGGAGAGGCTGTTACCATGGACAGCGAGCTGGGCTCCTCCAGGTACTGCTTCAGACTCAGACTCTTCCCGTTCACCTGAGCACACACAGAGGACGCCAGGTGAGCCGGTGTCAAACATTCGTTACCGGGAAGCTGAATGTGCACCGACCTGCAGGTGGGTGCAGATCCTCCTGAGGACGTCGTAGACGCTGTCTCGGGACAGCAGGGACACGAACACGTACTGAGGGCGGAGACAAAGACAGAAGGCGGTCAGAGCGAGCTCGCCCAATCGCAGCGAGGTCCAGACAGGACCGTCGCTTCGGCGCCGCCCTCTGAATCCTCCATTTAAACCAACTCCAGCAGCAGGAGCCACTCACAGATTTAAAGCATCCACCCATCCCTCTATCATCCACCCATCGAATCATCCACCCATCATTCATCC